TGCCTTAAATTTTACCTGAAGAAATTAGAGCTAGATTTATCTTCTAAAATGCAAAAGACTTGAAACGTCTGGAGCCAAAAAATTTAGCAAACATACACCCCACAGGTACTTATTGTCAGGTATGAGATTAGGTTTTAATTATTGTCTGGTGAACAAAACTCCCTCCCTTCATGGAGTTTATAATGCGCAGAAAGGAAAAAAAACAGTAAACACAGAAACAAATACTGCTAAGTGCTATTTGGGAAACTAACATAATTTTGCATAAAATAAATAGGGGTTCCTAATTTAGATTGGATTCTCGGGAAAACTTCTTATAGGAGGTGGCATCGTAGGTGGGAACTATAGAATAAGAGGAAATCACCATGATGAGGAGAAAAATTTCAGCCAGAAGAAACAAGATGGCAAAGATAATGAGATAGAGGAAAGCTTAGTCTGCAAGAAACAAAGAATCTGTGGTGTTGGAGTTTAGGGTAGTAAGCAAGGGAAAGACAGCCATAGATGGGAGTGGAGATATCAACGGAGGGCAGGTCACACAGAAGCTTGAAGGTTATATTAAGAAGTATGGAGAGTTTTGTTGGTGCAATGGGAAATCTCTGAAGACTTAGAATATGATTCAATTTACATCTTGCAGAGATCACTCTGGCTGCTGGGTATAGAATGGGTTGGGGGGAGTCAGGAGTGAAAACAAGAAGACCAATAAAGAGATGGCTACAGTGATTCAGGTAAGAAGTAATGGTGGTTTGGTAGCAGTAAGGCTGGAAGAGTGGTGAAGGGGCTTGATAAATATAATATAATAATATAAATATCTTGTAAATAGAATGGATGGTACTTGGCAATAGATGGGATGAGAAGAGTGTGAGGGAAATGTCGGCCACTAATCCTAGGATGCTGGTTGGATAGTGGGATGAAGAGACTAGAAAGGAAACTCATTTGGGAGAGAAAAATTGATAGTTAAGTTTTGAGCAAATTAAATTTAAGAAGTCTTTGAAACATAAAGGCAAATATACCAAGAAGAGTGCTATGTATCAGTCTGGGGCTTCGAAGCTATCTGAGCTGGAGTTATAAGTTTGGGGATTATTAGAATAAAGATGGTACATAAAGAGAGGCCCTTTGTAACGTTTCTGAGAACACTGTCAGTGGAGGTGGGAGATGGGAAGGCAGGTTCCAGGTTGCAGGGGGTTAAGAAGAAGTTAGACAACAGACAAGACTAGACCAATCTTTTAAGCAGTTTGGAGAAAAAGAAAGCAGAGAGATTAAGAAAAGCTTAAGGAGAGTTGTGGGCATAGGGCAGAGGTGATTATGATAAGAGTTTTCAGGCTGTGAAGAGAGGTAGAAGACAGGGTGAGGCTGAGGCTCTAGGAGAGCAGGAGTAGAAGTGTGTGTGAACTTGAGAAAATCAATTCCCAGAGGAAGAAGAGATGGAATCCTGAACACAAGGGTCAGGTCAGTCCATACAGGGAATAGAAGCACCTCTTCCTTTGAAATGCAGGGGGCTGACTCAGCCTGGTGAAGATATAAGGAAGTCTAGAAGAAGACAGATGAGACCACTAGGAGGTTTCAGACCTGAAATGGCTTCTACCTTTTTGGGTAGAGGTAACACTATCCGCTGAGATTTTCCTCAATTGTCGCTGCAAGGAACGGGAAAAGGCCCTTGAATCCTCCACAACTATTAATCGCAAACGCTTTCTGTATCTCCAGGAAGCTTGTGGCTATCCAGCCCTCACATGATAGGTTTATTGATTTCAAATTCCAAATCCTCTTAATACTAAATTCCTTGATTGCATTTTCTATGTGCCATTAACTCATTTTATAGCAGCCCAGGGCCAAGAAGCTATTAATCGGCTCCAAATTCAAGTAAATTTTCAATTTTACAAGGCTTTATGGCCTTTCCAATTTTACTTGACTAGGTGACATTAAAGTAAAGCAAAACATCTTTAATTTGTCTCAAAGGACATAACCAAGAAAAACTTTTCCCCATCCTTGGGATGGTGATGGAAGAGAACATAAGCCAGTAAATTTTGTAAGGTAGGTCAAGTTTCCACTCTGTTGGTCACAAAAGTGTGATTGGTGCAATCTTACATTGGCAGAACGTCCACTTTATCATTCTTATCTCCCAACTAATACAAGAGCTTCTCATTTGTAATCACTTTACAGCTCAGTTATAGTCTTCATAAACTGTCAGTTCAGGGAGAGCTGCTTCAGCAAATAATGCAACACGAGTCTCTTCATGAAGAGTTAAAAAATAGATGACTGACAGATTCAGTACTTACTGATACTTAGCAACCTATTGATTATGTATGCAGACAAAAACAAGCAAAGCTCATTCAAACTCCGTATTATTAAAGATTTTTTATTTATTTGACAGAGAGAGACACAGCAAGAGAGGGAACACAAGCAGGGGGAGTGGGATGTTATTGCCATATGTTATTTAGTTACTTGAAGTTATTACTCTGAAGATTTAAAATCTCTTTACAGTGGCTAATTAAAAAAAGGATACATTTTAAGTAAAATATTAAGCTAAGCAATGTTGTCATTTGAGGCCTTCATATTTTTTTTTTAGGTTAACATCAATGGAATCAAGGACTACTCGGTTTCCTGCATCCACAGACTGACTACCCTCTCTCTACACAGTTGCAATCATTTCACCTTTGATCTAAAAGCAAAATTCTGCTTCAGCTTCTGAGATCTATTTATCAGGGATAATTTTAGGAAATACAGACCAGTCTTTGGTTGAGTCAGCATCCTCAACCTAGCTGAGAGTGGTTCCAATTGGTATTACGCTTCTAATCATTTATGTTCTGCTGCCTTGCTCACTACTGACAGCAGGGTTCTGTGATGGAAAGTATATCATCTGGGTTTGAATCCCCATTTTTACCACTATCCTTGCCCTGTGTTCCTGGGTAAGTTATTTAATTCTCTGAGCCTCAGATACATACTATCTCAAATGTTGTTAGAAATACTTACGTTACAGAGGTGTTATATTAGTGTCTAGCTTTTGTTTGGCAAGTAGAAGACAGTTCTGTTTTTTACCCCTTCTCCCAGGTTCCTGCCTTCATAGACTCCACATTGCACCAGTTCTCCAGGCCTGAGTTTTTGCTTTATTTTAGGTAAATATCTTTAGGGACCAGATTTCTGTGAACTGCTATTGGATTACTTTGATGACGGTCACCATCTGCCTGCATTCCTACATATTAGCTGATTTTAGGGTCCTGATTACTATGCCTTATCCATCTATCCAGACAACTGATTGTATCTTACTGAACTCTCAATGATTATGATATGCTCGGGTCACCCCCTTTTGCCTGACATCGTTTTTATGATAACTTTGGACTACCAGGTTGCTTGGACTTCCCCCATCCCTGCCCCACAAAAGTTATGTTTAATTTCTGCTCTGTTTACAGTTTTTTTTGGTCATTATATGATATGATAAATGGACCTAAAAGTCAACTGTTTTCTAAGTCTGAACAAAGAAAATCCCCTGCTCAAAGAAAAATATAAACCTATGATAACAGGAAAACTTGATATGCATTATAAAATAAAATATATATTTTGTGAGAAAATGCTGCTAATTTTAGGACTTGCAATCTACAACACAGAAACAATTCAAGTTAAAATTGAACGGTGTAACCAGAAAACCTTGGTATTTCAAGAGGTTGTCAAATCTTAATGCTGACCAACACAGAAGCAAAGGTAACAATCAGTAGAATCAGTGGAAGAGAGGTCAAGGGTAAAAGCCAACCTGTATGAATGAGTAATGAATTCATTCTTCTCTTTCTGTATCAGTTCTAAAAGCTAAAGTTCAGCCTAATTTATTACACATCACAGCCATTAATAAATAGTTGGGTTCATATTTCATTCCTGTGGTTTGAATTTGGTTGTCATTGGCAAATAAACCAAAAGTCACCATCAATAATTTCAACCAACTTATTTATATGATATATTTTAAAATTAGAATATTAATTAAAGAATAGCTCATGAATGATCTTGTTCATTCCAGGTTCTAGTGGGAGTAGATCAATATGTATGTCTATACAGCTCTTTCTCCATAAACATTTCTATTTATTTCCAAGCCTACATATAGTAAAACTAGAAAATTAATGTAATTGCTTAATAATCAGACACTGGTGAATACATTTATTCTTTAATAATACTACAGGGTCACCTGAAATTTTCCTTTGCTATTTTGATGTTTAGATCTAGAACTATTTTAGATTATCTAAATAAATATCTGTCTATTTCTCACATTACATTAAGCCATGTTATAATGCTCTGAATTACCGCCTGCCACCCTTCTGTGCCCCTGAAAACCAGGAAATTGCCTAGGCCTGGTATTCACAATAAACGGGCTCAACTGCCTGAATGTTGATGGCTGAGGAACAATGAAACAGTCAATAAGATTAAATATTAGTGACTAAAATATTCTGATTGTTCAGAAAGCAATCAATGAAAAACAGCACAAGAAGACAAACAAAAATCAATCACTAGACTTGAAAAACATCAACTCTTTGGCCCAAAGCACAAGCCTCATGAATACCATTTAACATCCTGTTCTTCCCATGAAGAAAGACAAATGTGCACAAGATTCTAACATACTGTTTTTCTAAAAGCCAACAATTTACAGTCATTCAGGTGCACAGATTATACAACCAAAAACAATCTCACAAGGTCTTTTCATATTAAAATGTTTTTCTTCTCTTATTAATGCAGCTTGTGTATTAGAAGGCCTTTGGGGAAACTCCACTCTAAAGAGAAAAACATGCATTCGTAAACTGTCCAGCTAAAATAAGTGGACTTTCTCTAATGTTTCAAAAACATAACTGCATTGAAATGACCCTTGAGCCACCAATTGAGAGAAGATGTCACTGGACTGTGAATCTCTTGAAAAGTTGGCAGGGTGGTGTAGCTAAAAGTATCTCAGTACCAATTACTCAGTAGAAAGTTGAATTTAATTGGGTCAAGCAAACATCCCTCTTTCTCATTCCCCTGTCCAAGTAACTCACAACTTTCAATCTCCAGAGTGCAGTTCTGTTCATCCAGAGGATATCTTCGTAGATCCATCATACATGCAGCTGTGGTTGTGATCCTGTCAGGTTGAGAGAGAGAAAAGACAGCTTCATAAGGATGATGACTTTCATTTCCGGGCTTCCCACCCCCAAATCATGTTTACTTGTTGGCATCAAAATTTTGTGATTAAAATTTTTGAAGGTGAGCAGATTAAGATCAAGTCTTTCTTTGCTGCCCACTAGGTGTGTGAGCTGGCTCTGGCTTATTTATCTCCATAAGCCTAGGTCCCCTCATCAATCAAAACACCTACTGCAGGGAGCCTGGGTGTCTCAGATGGTTAAGCGTCTGCCCTCTGCTCAGGTCATGATCCCAGGGTCCTGGGATCAAATCCCGCATCGGGCTCCCTGCTCCTTGGGAGCCTGCTTCTCCTTCTGCCTCTCTCTCTCTCTCTTTCTCTGTCTCTCATGAATAAATAAATAAAATCTTAAAGAAAAAAAACACCTACTGCAAAGGATGGTTATGAGGAGTAAAAGAGATAATGTGTTCAAACTCCTAGCCTGGTGCCCCATACATAGTGCTCCACAAATGATGGTCATGTTACAACTGTTATTATCCCATGGTCCTTCTTATACTTACTATAGCAATGTCTGTGACAATATTTACAGCAAGTCTGGCCTTATGAGTAGGAGGAGATCAACACTATGCATCAAAACTTATCTCCCTCTCCTACTATAACCTAGTAATAAAACAACAAGAAAAATGACAAAAACAATAAAACCCATCCTCCATGACATTTGGGGCCTCACATTCATTCCCCACTATTAGCGAGATTTGTCGGATTCATCTCTGAGATCCTCACCTACCTATACTCAGCCGGTAACGTATAACCAGAAAAGAAACACTATCCTAGGATTGGTGTTCACACCATATTTACCACCTTCTGTTCTCCACTCAGCTTATTTGTTTATGCAAATCCCAGGACCTTGACTCTAGATATCCTACTGGGGTTTCCATTATCCCTCCATTTTCTCTTGTCTGTTTCCTAGAATGTGGAGTCTGAGAGTAACTTAAATTCCTATGGTTAGTCCATACTTACAAACATTTGGTATCACTTAGGAATTGACAAAGTACTTTTCTTGAAAAACAAATTACATGATCCTTCTCCACGAAGTAATGTCTAATCATAATTTAAAGAATTCAAAAGATTAAAATTTAGTTATGTTTCCTTTCTGCCTTAATCCCCAAGAGCTACAACATTGGACATTTTCCATAAATACTCTGTATGCAAAAGAAGACAGGTATGTCTTCTTAGGGGGAAACTTCTTAGATAGCATCTACTATGTCCCCTGTTCTGAACCTTGCTTGTTTTCATTAACAATGCGTCTTGGATTTGGTTCCGTGTCAGTAAATAATAAGCCGTCCTAAAAAAAATTTACCATAGCAGGTTCAGCTGTATGGAAATATCATGATTTATTTTTCTAATCACACTTCAGTGGGCATTTACATCATTTCCTATTTTTTTACTGTTACAGATGAAGATACTCCGAATATACTAATATACTCTACTATGTCTGGCTATATCCGTTGGCTGTTTCTAGAATGGGAATTGTTAGAAAAAATGGTATATACACTTAAAATTTTGCTACATCACCCTTCATAGAGGTTGTGCCAATTTACACTCCCATCAACAGTATATTTAAATTCAACAAGGTGTTTCTCGAACCTATGTTTTTTTGTGGCTGCTAAGACAAGTTATTATTTTGGTCATTTGTGTTAACCTAACAGGCACCTTCTTAAAAATATTATTAGGAAATACACTAACTGTTTCCAATTTCTCTTTGGCTTTCCTTACAAAAAATGAAAGTTTAGGGGCGCTTGCGTAGCTGAGTCGGTTGAGTGGCTGGCTCTTGATTTCTGCTCAAGTCACGATTTCAGGATTTCAGGATCCTGAGATAACAAGCCCCGGGGCCTTTGTGCTCAGTGTGTGTGTGTGGGGGGTCTGCTGTAGGTTCTCCCTCTCCTTCTCCTTCAGCCCTCCCCCCCACTTGTGCTCTCTCTCAAATAAATAAATAAATAAATAAATAAATAAATAAATGTTTTTTAAGAATGGAAGTTTACCAAGATGAACATGTTCCCTTTGAAGCCTTTCTTAGACAGGATGTTGGTCAATTTAATCAGATTTATTTTAGCTTTATATAAGAGCAAAAGGAATTTTAAAATTCAATTAAAAATTTCTTCAAAGTACTTTACGAAAAATATGAAAACTAGTTGTATTCCAGAATTTGCCATATAAAAGTGTTTTACCAGATTCCTTATTGCTTCCCACTCCCATTATCACATGAATTAATTTTTCCACTTAATAATATATCATTAATTATCTTTTGTTGTCTGGAAATACAATTCCACAACATTATTTTTATGGCTTGCATGTATCTCAAATACCCTCAATAAGGTGACACAATAAATATTTAAAATGCTTTAAAAATCACCTATCTACTTTACTATATTCTTTGTTTAATAGCTGCTTATGAATTAAAAAATTCAGGAGGATATGAACATTCCCTAGAAATTAATAGTGTGGCCAGCCCTATGATTTAGCCAGTAATTCTCAACAAGGGATACTTTTCCCCCCCACAGGGGACATTTGGCAATATCTGGAGACGTATATTTGATCATCAGACTGGGGGTGGAGGCTTGCTACTGGCATCCAGTGGGTAGAGGCCAGGGCTGCAGCTAAACATCTTACAATGCCCAGGATAGCACCCAACAATAAAGAATGATCTATTCCAAAGTGTCAGTAGTGCCAAGGTTGAGAAACCCTGCTACGATGGTGGTTTTCAAACATTTTTCCTCTGAGGATAATTTTAATAAAATGAAATCTTCTAGAGAACCTCAGTATATAAAATACAATTGAAACGAAAGCCGTATTTTGTTAATATAAAATTACCTTATAAATTCAAATGTTGACATCTATTTTAATGAGCACAGAATTTGAAAGCAGGTGGTACGATGAGAATTATGATCTTAGATCTCTCTCAGCACCAATTATTTTTGTGTTGGATTTTATTTGTATAGTATCAAAAAATCCTAATAAGGAAGGAAACACTTCTAAAATCTTACATGACTGGCTATAGGCTTCCCTGAATTAGCAGGAGGGAACCCCAAGGTTATCAAGGAACCTCCTCTATAACCAATCACACTTTTGCAAAGGTTCAGATACATCCCTAGATGATTGGACTCTAGCAAGTGTTTAATACGGATTAAAGGGAAGCTTTACTTGTTGCTTCATGCTCTGCATAAGTTAATCTGGTAGCAAAAGTTAATACTATGATGGTCTTGAATGCATTAAAATGTGGCATAGGATGCATTACAGTGTGTATGCTTCTTATTATAGCTTAAAATAATTACAATATTTAAAAATCAAATTAAAATCAAATATTTATGGAACTATGGAAGAGCTTTAGGGGTCCTTGAGAGCAACATTTGAGCCCTCTTGGTCAGCACATCTCACTTAATTGATCTCATTTTCAGACGTGTGTCATCAAGTAAGTGAACCACATCATGTCAGAATAAGGACATGCATCTTTTGTTGAATCACTGATTCCCATGTTGTGAAGCTCTGGAATTTTTACAAAGCAATTTGAAAAGCCAACAAAGCATTGTATATAAATGAATAACAAATGTTTCATAGATATGTGTCCTGGAGTTGTGAGTGACAAAAAAAAAATCTTTTTTAAAGCATAACTGAATTTACTGTTGCTACTTGTTATGATCAATCCATTTAGCAATCAATAGATATAATATCTAATTGATAATCACCTTGGGAAACTATATATCACACCAGAGGCTTGCCCATGATCTGATGATTTCTCAACTAGTATCACCTGGACCAGTTTACATCTGCCTCAAGTTTCATTATGAAACCAAGGAAAGTAAAGTAATCACAACTCAAAAAGGGAACTAGCTCTAGGAACTAGAGCTGTGAAAAGTGCCTGACTTTCTCTGAAGAACACTGACATTAGTGAAATAACTTCCTTCTTGGGATCTACCTGTTCCAAATTTCAAATTCTCAAGAGGATTTCATTGGCTCAACTTGGATTAGGTGCCAACTCTTCCAAATTATTTAGTAAAAGCTGGAAGGAAAGTTGCACTCATACAAATGTTGTCACCAGGGACCCATAAAGGTCTCTTATCTCAAGAAAGAAGGAATCACTGAAGCTCAGGCAGGGACACCTTCATACGCAGGAATTCATAAATTTATGTTGTGGCCTGTAGAAATGTATGTAACTGAGTATTGGTCCCTGCTAATTTACGGGTTTGGCGTTTCTAGATTTTGAAATACTTATGGCTAAGTGAGTAGAGTGTCCTGAGCTCTTTGTGAGAAAAAAAGGCTGAGCAAGAATTCCCAGGATCATCAATAAAAAGAGAAATGTCCCTGGGCATCAGCTCTTCTGTCTTCTGGGTAAGAAGCAACAATGAATACCTCTAAGAATGACTGTTTCCAATGTTTCCATTTGTTCACTTTGCCAAATGTAATTGCTCAGTAGTGGTTAGTCACCTCCACAATTGATTAACACATCCATACGGAAATGTACTCACAGTGTGGCTGAAGCAGCCTGAGATTCTAAATCTTCTATGGAATCAAAGGTGCCAAAAATTGCAAACTGAATGGGTTGAGAGCTTCAAGACTGAAGTGATTTTTCAATTTTGTTTTTAACTTTCACACCCAAGTCATTCATTCTGAGTGTGTGAAAACATTATTATTGGTTGATAGCAAATGAAAGTACAATACAGGAGAACCAGCTATAGGTAAAAGCATTAACTGTTTTTCTGAACACAGACTTCCCAGAGGTACAGTTTCATGACAGCATAACATTCAGCTGTCTTCTTTCACAGACCTTTCAAATGGCTTACATTATAATCCAATTTATTGACATTTTGAAGGTTAGGTCAGAACACTATAACAGGCTGTTAGAAACTATGGTCCCATGAGACTTCGGACTGAAGGGGAATCATGTTGCTGTAGTATTCATTTATTAAGGTGTATGCTGTTTGGTCACTGACCTTAAGAGTCACTGT